GAGGACACACCAATGAACTTGCATACGCTCAGTGCACCTCTGAGAGAGCGCTTCCACAGGCTTTCACTCTGAGCCTCAGCAGCAGGAGTTTCCAGCTGGTTCAGGGTCCTTTTTCTGTCCTGAGCTTGTTCCAAGGCTGTTGTGAGGTGAAGCACTTTCTCTCCATAATGCTTTTCTTGACGCCAATTCCTTTCCTTCAAATCGTCAATTTCTGCCACCAAATTTTCATTTTCTCTCTCTTTTTCATCCAGTCTTGTTTCAAGACTCGCCACCTTCTCAGTCAAGAGACGACGCTCACAGTCACTTTTACAGAGGGCAGTGGAAGGCCCAATCTCTTCAGACTCACTTTTTGTATGCTGATCTTCGGGCGTAATTATCTCATTTGAAAGACTATCCTCACTCTCCAGAAGCATTGAAGTATCTGAAGTGTCAGCTTCCTGTCTTTGACGGTGGGCCAGCCTACGCCTGACTCTAGACCTCACATTCAGGATTGACTCTTGAGCAAATGTTTGGACAGAAATAGCTTTCATCCTGCTGATGAGCCCTCTCATGCCTGACTTTTTGGTCTCTTCTGGAGATGATTTATTTACGGAGTCAGGTGAGCCAATTTGGTCCTGTTCATCTAAGTCCTCTGAATCCTGGCCGACTCCAGAAGGAAGCGGGTTTAATTCTTCCTCTGAGTCAAAACCCTGAAAGTCATAATTGGTCGCTTCTTCTGTTCTGTTCTGTTCCATCCTACTAGTGGAGGAGCTCATGGCTGTGTTTGTGTTTGTAAGTTGGTGTTAAAACAGTTTTGTGTCTCCTTTAAAAATGATCCTAAAGCAAAGTTCGATCTTACTTACCTTGGTGTAGTCATTACCAAGTTTTTGGTATGCCTCAGGGCTGTGATGTCATCACTTCGATGACATCAAAGTGATGACATCACTATGATGTCATCACTTTGATGACATCATAGTAATGTCAAAGCACAGTCATGGAATTCCCTCTGGCTTCCCCAGTTACTATGGCAACAGATCACAACATAAGTCTGCCACAACTTAAAACTTAAAATGGATACCTTAGTGAACAATATGTTTCAAAAAACTGCTCAATCATGCCAGGGAATCTTTTTTTTTTCCTGCACAGTTTCATATTTTTATATTTTGCATAATATCAAGCAACACATTTATTCAATATGTAAGAATGACAAATCTGATGTTGAAAGTTTTTTTTTTTTATCACAGTCACATGGTCACATAGTTTCAAAAAGTTATAGCAGGGACATGTCGGCCATCATGATGAGTCACTTCTCCTTTAAAAAAAAAAAAACTCTTTCTGTAGAGTTTTAAAAATAGGTAGTTATTCCTTGTTTTGCCTGAGGGAAGATCTCAGCTGGTGACAGGCTGGGGTCTTCTTTTTTCTATTTTTAATTTTGCACAACTTTTGGTTGGCAAGCTGAGACTGCAGGTAAGCTACTTCAGCATGCAGACTCTTTGAATGCAGAGCTATTTTGTTGTAATTCATGCACAATATGGGTTAGCACCGTCATGCTGTAATGGGCTCATCTGATTCATTCCTGGAAGTGAACAAGTTGGCATCACTGCGACTCGTCCCCACATGACATTTGCACATTTGACTACAAGTTGTTCTCAGAGGTGATTAAATGTTACTATTATCTTAATTTTTGATATTATTTAATTTTAACAGCAGTGTCAGTGACAGGTCAAGTCGTCAAGTTTTAACTTGCACCACACACAAGCCTCAATTTCACATAGGATCCTACAGTTTTTGTTTAGGTCCACTGGCCAAGATCAAGAATTTTCATTAGTCTTTTGTAATTCTGCCTCTTTTTCAGAGACATTTGCTCTTCATCTCTAGGTGATAAACAAAATGATCTCATAGTCGACTTCTACTAGCTAGCAAGCTAATCAAGAAGCCTCATGCAATCATTACTATCCAAACGAACAAACACTGAAAGAAAATGTGTGATTCATTTCAATCGCTGTCCAATTCTTCTTTCATGGAAAAATGGAGTGAGATCTTGTGGAGTACAGACATGGTTTGAGAGCAAGCTCATATGCTAATACTGTATATGGACAATTGTTACTCTTTAAAATGATGTTTTAGTCTTTTTACATTATTACACTCATTTGCTTCTGATTAGTGTCAGCTATTTCACTGACTATTAGTGTACTGAGATAAGAACAGGGAAGGTATCGCTAGTTTGGGTGGGGAGTGGGGCTTAAAGGGGAGCTACTTTTGGTTAAGGAGGAAAAAACACAATGGTAATACTCTGCTTGAGTATTGAATATGGAGTACTGAGTACTTTCCGATACAACTGGTCTGTAATGATTAAATACAGCCAATAACTGAGTGAACAGATTACTGTAACTAGCATGGTAGAGTAATATCACATTACATAGCACTCCAGCAGAAACTAAAATGGCTGACGGGTAAGGTCAAATCTTTTCTCTATTTCTGCATGTGCAATTAGGTGATCATTGTGCCCATTGTATGATATAATAACTGAACGTATCAGAAAACCTCCAAGAGCAGCTGTCTAATGTTTTGACCCTGATCTGATCCTATATCAGCAATGTTTGGTGAGTGTGCTCATTTATAGTACTTCTTTTTGGGTCTGTCTGGGTCATTGAGGCTGTGCTCGGCTCAACTCAGTTCCAGGGCTCTCAAGTTTTGAACTAAGCTAAGAGTGAGATTTCCTTGGGGTATGAGGGCCACATTAAGAAAAAAAACGTTTTGAAATCTTGGAGAATAAAGTTATTATTGAGGAGAATAAAGTCATTAATATATAAGAATAAAGTCGTAAAGTTACCTGTTGTGCAGGAGAGTTGTTAAAATCAGCACTGTGAAGCATTTAGATGAATTGTACTTTAGTGTAGGTTTCACAAACATGGAAATACTTAATCCTTTGGTACATGAGCATTACACTGTCATCATGACAGTCCACACTGTGTGGACATGAACCCCCTAAGAACTTTTAAAAATAGAGCTGTACAGAAAAAAGAGGACTTGAGCACAAAACAGTCTTACAGTAACTACATGTCAACATCGCAAGCAAGGGGAAAAAATCTGTTCTGTGTGATTAATTTCTAAAATTTGTCCTCAGCCTCTTAAGGATGGCTGACAGGGATTTATGACCTATACTGCAGGCCGTCACCAGAGGGTGCTGTTCTCAGAGTGGCTTCACCCAGTGAGAAGACGGACACTTTCCGTTTTGATTTCCACTCCCCGTCGGGGAATCGAACCCCGGTCACCCGCCTAACAGGCGGGGATACTCACCACTATACTAACGAGGAGAATGTGTTCTGACATGATATGATATAATATGGAACAATATGATACGATATGATACTATATGACATGATATGATACGATATGATATGGTACAATACCATACTATACGATACTGTGTTTGTGTGTTTTTGTGTTTTTGTGTGACCACCAGAGTATTGTGGTCCACTGTCAAAAGCTGCAGTTAGATCCAACAGAACAAGAATAACATAATCACCAGAGTCATTTGCCTGGAGGATGTCATTTAAAACTCTTTATAAAGCAGACTCTGTGCTGTGAAGAGTTTTAAAACCAGACTGGAAGACCTCCATGCTCAACCAGAAAAGACTTTAGCTGAACATGAACAACTTTCTCTAACATTTTTGAAATAAAGGGAAGCTTGGAGATGGCCTAAAATTGGCCAGCATACCGCAATCAAGGCCTGGTTTGTGGAGTACAGCTGAAAACCTAATTGGAGATAGTCTTCTATTGCACCTCTAGTAGTAAGACATTGTTTTTAGTCACCTTCTTTTTACCTTGTTATCAAAATGTGAAAAGGAAAAAACCCACACAGCTGACATAAGATTTTGCAGTTGCATACATCAACCTTCACACAATCTGATTCACTTTAAACCAAGTTAACCTTGTAAAAACACACTCTTGATGAAATTATATGTATTTGTTTTTTTTTTAATTGAGTTCCTGAGTTCTGCCATTTTGGGGCTGTGGGAGGAAACCATAGCAACTGGTGGAAACCTACAGTGTTATGGGGAGAAAATGCACAATTGGATTACGGAGACCTTTATCCTGAAGGTGACAGTGGTGACATTCCATGTCCCTAGAACTAGCCTCTGCAGCCGAGGATCAGACCGCCAAGGTCCCAGTGAGCCACGTCCAGGCGAGGGAAACTTGGTGCCAAATATTTTGTTCATCATAATGGGTCTGTTTGAGCTACTCTTAGTCTGGTCCCCCCCAGGACCTGTTTGCTCCTGGGGGATCACTGGGACACACAAACCCCTCCACCACGGTAAGGTGGTAGCTCGAGGAGGGGGAATTTTTTTTTTAAGATACTAAATATCTTGTGGGGGGAAACCAGAGCACCTGGAGTAAACCCCTGTGTGATGGAGAGAAAATGTAAAATTCAAATAGGGAGACCTTTATCCTGAAGGTGACAGTGCTAACTACTGCACCTCCACTCCTTCCTTGCATTAATTAAACTGTATTGGGGAAAAGAAGTGTTGGTCCTGTTTAAGAGGGGTGTCCTGTGTTGTGAATAGTCAATGATTCCAACAGGTGGGAGAAAGGATCACATGGGCAATCACAATGAGCAACCAATCCAATGGACAGTATACCCACTGCAACAAGTGCACATGCAGAGGACACACCAATGAACTTGCATACGCTCAGTGCACCTCTGAGAGAGCGCTTCCACAGGCTTTCACTCTGAGCCTCAGCAGCAGGAGTTTCCAGCTGGTTCAGGGTCCTTTTTCTGTCCTGAGCTTGTTCCAAGGCTGTTGTGAGGTGAAGCACTTTCTCTCCATAATGCTTTTCTTGACGCCAATTCCTTTCCTTCAAATCGTCAATTTCTGCCACCAAATTTTCATTTCCCAGGCTTTCTCTCTCCAGCTTTCATCCAGTCTTGTTTCAAGACTCGCCACCTTCTCAGTCAAGAGAGTCGACGCTCACAGTCACTTTTACAGAGGGCAGTGGAAGGCCCAATCTCTTCAGACTCACTTTTTGTATGCTGATCTTCGGGGGGTAATTATCTCATTTGAAAGACTATCCTCACTCTCCAGAAGCATTGAAGTATCTGAAGTGTCAGCTTCCTGTCTTTGACGGTGGGCCAGCCTACGCCTGACTCTAGACCTCACATTCAGGATTGACTCTTGAGCAAATGTTTGGACAGAAATAGCTTTCATCCTGCTGATGAGCCCTCTCATGCCTGACTTTTTGGTCTCTTCTGGAGATGATTTATTTACGGAGTCAGGTGAGCCAATTTGGTCCTGTTCATCTAAGTCCTCTGAATCCTGGCCGACTCCAGAAGGAAGCGGGTTTAATTCTTCCTCTGAGTCAAAACCCTGAAAGTCATAATTGGTCGCTTCTTCTGTTCTGTTCTGTTCCATCCTACTAGTGGAGGAGCTCATGGCTGTGTTTGTGTTTGTAAGTTGGTGTTAAAACAGTTTTGTGTCTCCTTTAAAAATGATCCTAAAGCAAAGTTCGATCTTACGTACCTTGGTGCAGTCATTACCAAGTTTTTGGTATGCCTCAGGGCTGTGATGTCATCACTTCGATGACATCAAAGTGATGACATCACTATGATGTCATCACTATGAAAACATCACTATGATGACATGATAGTAATGTCAAAGCACAGTCATGGAATTCCCTCTGGCTTCCCCAGTTACTATGGCAACAGATCACAATATAAGTCTGCCACAACTTGAAACTTAAAATGGATACCTTAGTGAACAATATGTTTTGTTTATGTAAAAATGACAAATCTGATGTTGAAAGTTTTTTTTTTTATCACAGTCACATGGTCACATAGTTTCAAAAAGTTATAGCAGGGACATGTCTGCCATCATGACGAGTCACTTCTCCTTTTAAAAAAAAAAAAAAACTCTTTCTGTAGAGTTTTAAAAATGGATAGTTATTCCTTGTTTTGCCTGAGGGAAGATCTCAGCTGGTGACAGGCTGGGGTCTTCTTTTTTCTATTTTTAATTTTGCACAACTTTTGGTTGGCAAGCTGAGACTGCAGGTAAGCTACTTCAGCATGCAGACTCTTTGAATGCAGAGCTATTTTGTTGTAATTCATGCACAATATGGGTTAGCACCGTCATGCTGTAATAGGCTCATCTGATTCATTCCTGGAAGTGAACAAGTTGGCATCACTGCGACTCGTCCCCACATGACATTTGCACATTTGACTACAAGTTGTTCTCAGAGGTGATTAAATGTTACTATTATCTTAATTTTTGATATTATTTAATTTTAACAGCAGTGTCAGTGACAGGTCAAGTCGTCAAGTTTTAACTAAGATTTGAACCATACACAAGCCTCAATTTCACATAGGATCCTACAGTTTTTGTTTAGGTCCACTGGCCAAGATCAAGAATTTTCATTAGTCTTTTGTAATTCTGTCTCTTTTTCAGAGACATTTGCTCTTCATCTCAAGGTGATAAACAAAATGATCTCATATTCGACTTCTACTAGCTAGCAAGCTAATCAAGAAGCCTCATGCAATCATTACTATCCAAACAAACAAAGACTGAAAGAAAATGTGTGATTCATTTCAATCGCTGTCCAATTCTTCTTTCATGGAAAAATGGAGTGAGATCTTGTGGAGTACAGACATGGTTTGAGAGCAAGCTCATATGCTAATATTGTATATGGACAATTGTTACTCTTTAAAATGATGTTTTAGTCTTTTTACATTATTACACTCATTTGCTTCTGATTAGTGTCAGCTATTTCACTGACTATTAATGTACTGAGATAAGAACAGGGAAGGTATCGCTAGTTTGGGTGGGGAGTGGGGCTTAAAGGGGAGCTACTTTTGGTTAAGGAGGAAAAAACACAATGGTAATACTCTGCTTGAGTATTGAATATGGAGTACTGAGTACTTTCCAATACAACTGGTCTGTAATGATTAAATACAGCCAACAACTGAGTGAACAGATTACTGTAACTAGCATGGTAGAGTAATATCACATTACATAGCACTCTAGCAGAAACTAAAATGGCTGACGGGTAAGGTCAAATCTTTTCTCTATTTCTGCATGTGCAATTAGGTGATCATTGTGCCCATTGTATGATATAATAACTGAACGTATCAGAAAACCTCCAAGAGCAGCTGTCTAATGTTTTGACCCTGATCTGATCCTATATCAGCAATGTTTGGTGAGTGTGCTCATTTATAGTACTTCTTTTTGGGTCTGTCTGGGTCATTGAGGCTGTGCTCGGCTCAACTCAGTTCCAGGGCTCTCAAGTTTTGAACTAAGCTAAGAGTGAGATTTCCTTGGGGTATGAGGGCCACATTAAGAAAAAAACGTTTTTAAATCTTGGAGAATAAAGTTATTATTGAGGAGAATAAAGTCATTAATATATAAGAATAAAGTCGTAAAGTTACCTGTTGTGCAGGAGAATTGTTAAAATCAGCACTGTAAAGCATTTAGATGAATTGTACTTTAGTGTAGGTTTCACAAACATGGAAATACTTAATCCTTTGGTACATGAGCATTACACTGTCATCATGACAGTCCACACTGTGTGGACATGAACCCCCTAATAACTTTTAAAAATAGAGCTGTACAGAAAAAAGAGGACTTGAGCACAAAACAGTCTTACAGTAACTACATGTCAACATCGCAAGCAAGGGGAAAAAATCTTTCTGTGTGATTAATTTCTAAAATTTGTCCTCAGCCTCTTAAGGATGGCCGACAGGGATTTATGACCTATACTGCACCCCGTCACCAGAGGGTGCTGTTCTCAGAGTGGCTTCACCCAGCGAGAAGACGGACACTTTCCGTTTTGATTTCCACTCCCCGTCGGGGAATTGAACCCCGGTCTCCCGCCTAACAGGCGGGGATACTCACCACTATACTAACGAGGAGAATGTGTTCTGACATGATATGATATAATATGGAACAATATGACACTATATGACATGATATGATACGATACGATATGATATGGTACAATACCATACTATACGATACTGTGTTTTTGTGTTTTTGTGTGACCACCAGAGTATTGTGGTCCACTGTCAAAAGCTGCAGTTAGATCCAACAGAACAAGAATAACATAATCACCAGAGTCATTTGCCTGGAGGATGTCATTTAAAACTCTTAATAAAGCAGACTCTGTGCTGTGAAGAGTTTTAAAACCAGACTGGAAGACCTCCATGCTCAACCAGAAAAGACTTTAGCTGAACATGAACAACTTCCTCTAAAATTTTTGAAATAAAGGGAAGTTTGGAGATGGCCTAAAATTGGCCAGCATACTGCAATAAAGGCCTGGTTTGTGGAGTACAGCTGAAAACCTAATTGGAGATAGTCTTCTATTGCACCTCTAGTAGTAAGACATTGTTTTTAGTCACCTTCTTTTTACCTTGTTATCAAAATGTGAAAAGGAAAAAACCCACACAGCTGACATAAGATTTTGCAGTTGTGTACATCAACCTTCACACAATCTGATTCACTTTAAACCAAGTTAACCTTGTAAAAACACACTCTTGATGAAATTATATGTATTTGTTTTTTTTTTATTTAGTTACTGAGTTCTGCCATTTTGGGGCTGTGGGAGGAAACCATAGCACCTGGTGGAAACCTACAGTGTTATGGGGAGAAAATGCACAATTGGATTACGGAGACCTTTATCCTGAAGGTGACAGTGGTGACATTCCATGTCCCTAGAACTAGCCTCTGCAGCCGAGGATCAGACCGCCAAGGTCCCAGTGACCCACGTCCAGGCGAGGGAAACTTGGTGCCAAATATTTTGTTCATCATAATGGGTCTGTTTGAGCTACTCCTAGTCTGGTCCCCCCCCCCAGGACCGGTTTGCTCCTGGGGGATCACTGGGACACACAAACCCCTCCACCACGGTAAGGTGGTAGCTCGAGGAGGGGGAATTTTTTTTTTTAAGATACTAAATATCTTGTGGGGGGAAACCAGAGCACCTGGAGTAAACCCCTGTGTGATGGAGAGAAAATGTAAAATTCAAATAGGGAGACCTTTATCCTGAAGGTGACAGTGCTAACCACTGCACCTCCACTCCTTCCTTGCATTAATTAAACTGTATTGGGGAAAAGAAGTGTTGGTCCTGTTTAAGAGGGGTGTCCTGTGTTGTGAATAGTCAATGATTCCAACAGGTGGGAGAAAGGATCACATGGGCAATCACAATGAGCAATCAATCCAATGGACAGTATACCCACTGCAACAAGTGCACATGCAGAGGACACACCGATGAACTTGCCTACGCTCAGTGCACCTCTGAGAGAGCGCTTCCACAGGCTTTCACTCTGAGCCTCAGCAGCAGGAGTTTCCAGCTGCTGAGGTTCAGGTGATATCTCGAGGTCAGGTGATATCTCGTCTGTCTGCACCCCAGTGGAGTTAAGATGTCTTTCACTTGGCGCTAGTATCTCTTCCTCCTGCTTTGTCTTGAGCTCTTCTCTGAGCTTCCTGATTGTTTCCTCTGAATGCTGGTTCAGGGTCCTTTCGTTGTCCTGAGCTTGTTCCAAGGCTGTTGTGGGGTGAAACACTTTCTCTCGATAATGCTTTTCTTGACGCCAATTCCTTTCCTTCAAATCGTCAATTTCTGCCACCAAATTTCCATTTTCTAACTCTTTTTCATCCAGTCTTGTTTCAAGACTCGCCACCTTCTCAGTCAAGAGGCTCCTGTTCCTTTCATTTGTGATGCTCTCATCCTGCAGACGACGCTCACAGTCACTTTTACAGAGGGCAGTGGAAGGCCCAATCTCTTCAGACTCACTGTTTGTATGCTGATCTTCGGGTGTAATTATTCATTTGAAAGACTATCCTCACTCTCCAGAAGCATTGAAGTATCTGAACTGTCAGCTTCCTGTCTTCGACGGTGGGCCAGCCTACGTCTGACTCTAGACCTCACCTTCAGGATTGACTCTTGAGCAAATGTTTGGACAGAAATAGCTTTCATCCTGCTGATGAGCCCTCTCATGCCTGACTTTTTGGTCTCTTCTGGAGATGATTTATTTACGGAGTCAGGTGAGCCAATTTGGTCCTGTTCATCTAAGTCCTCTGAATCCTGGCCGACTCCAGAAGGAAGCGGGTTTAATTCCACTGAGTCAAAACCCTGAAAGTCATAATTGGTCACTTCTTCTGTTCTGTTCTGTTCCATCCTACTAGTGGAGGAGCTCATGGCTGTGTTTGTGTTTGTAATAATAATAATAGCAGGAGTTTCCAACTGCTGAGGTTCAGGTGATATCTCGAGGTCAGGTGATATCTCGTCTGTCTGCACCCCAGTGGAGTTAAGATGTCTTTCACTTGGCGCTTGTATCTCTTCCTCCCGCTTTGCCTTGAGCTCTTCTTTGAGCTTGCTGATTGTTTCCTCTGAATGCTGGTTCAGGGCCCTTTCGTTGTCCTGAGCTTGTTCCAAGGCTGTTATGAGG